CAGACAGACGGACAGGGCCAAATCGACTCAGCTCGTCGCCCTGATCAAGAATATATATACTTTGTGGGGTCTGCCACGCCTCCCTCTGCCTGTTACATACATTTCAACAAAACCATTATACCCTGATTTCCCATTGAAAATGGGTTCAGGGTATAAAAATTATTACCTTAGAGTCTGAACTATATATTGAAGGGTGTCAGCCAAGACTTATATAGGATAGAGTATCTAACAAGAGGCAAGTCTAAAAGTAAAGAATCGACTATTAGTAAATAATCAGACTTTTATGGGAAAAACTATATGTCAAGAGAAACGAATATTAGTATTAGATAGGGTAGAGCATATGCCAAGAGTGTGAGCGATATAGGAAAGAATAGAGTATGAACTCTACAGCACCGCATAGGAATGTCAGCTACATACATACACATATATAACCTAATAGGAAAAAATTTCGCCTCAACAGTTTGAACTATATAGGAAGAGTATCCGTTTAGCGTCATGCTAAAGAGTATCTGCCAACAGTCCAAACTATATAGAAAAGAGTATCTACTAGTAGCTCAATCAATATGAGCAAGAGAATCATAGAGGTAAGAGATTAGCCACATATTTTCTTTTACATATGTTGTGATCCCCCCCCCCCCTCTCTCTCTCTCTCTTTCTCACTTTCTCACTTTCTCTCCATCTTTTGACTGAACACTTTAAAGCGGAATTGTGAAGTCGGCCCCGAGAGCGAATCGTCATTTAGTCAACTGTTGCGCAACGGTTGGCAATTTGCATTCCGAGAGGCATCCTGTCAAATTGTTTGCTGCGAAAGCTGTCATCCTTGTCGTGCTCGTCGGCGCCTCGTTGCTTCCGCTTGAGTCGAAGCGAAGTTGGCAATTGCAATTGCAGCTTGATTTCCATTTGCCATCCGCACATTGAGCGCATTGGGAAAATGTTTTTCCTGTGGCACTTTTGGCATGCCGCCGCCTCCACAGCCGCCGCAGCCGCCGCAGCCACCGAAGCCACCGAAGCCAACTTGTTGCACAATCCGAAAATTTGTGCTTCTTCCTGCGGAGAAAACAGCAAATTAGGAAGTTCAATTATTGAAATTAAATTGCAGTCAGCTCTGCTGCGCGGCAGCAATAAGAATTTCCAATTAGATTCCAACAGCGACTTCTAATCAGTGCGGCGAAACTTGCTCGAAATTCAAGTTAGCTCGAGTAGGGAATTCTTTTAGAGTTTCCCAACTCTGAGACAGCTGGAAATGTCTTCAAATTGGTGGAGTGTGTATGTATGTATATATTTGTGAGTTTATTTCCAAATATTTAAAAATATGAAAAAAAAGTTGTTTATATATATGCATAGGTATATGGATACTCCAGATTCCTCTAGGTATTTCTCCTACAAAATTGTTGTACATTCAATTCATATAAATTGGTGTAAGGGCAGCCTAGATTCCTCTAGGTATTGTTATACATATATATGAATAGGTAGGCATATGGATACCCTAGATTCCTCTAGGTACTCCTCCTACAGCTCAAAGTCTGTGTTGGGTGCCAGGCTGTCCACCTCGGCCTTGATCGTATAGTTGGCTTCGTTGATGCTGTAGCGAATGTTCAGATAGTTTCCCGCCTGGAAGGGCACCGCATAGTAGCCCTGCTGGCTGCTGGAGTCCTTGTCGGTGCGCTGGTAGATCACCTGCCCGTTGCTCAGCACCAGACGCAGCTCCTGGCTGCCGTCCTCGTTGTGGCGGGCGTTCTGCCTGAGGATCTGCACGAGACTCTGGGCTTCCGGCTGTCGCAGCGAGACCAGCGGCTCACAGCGACAGCTGAGCTTTTGGCCGATCGAGCAGGTCTGTGCGGGCGCACCACCTGCTGGTGGCTTGCCAGTTGGCCCAAATCCTGGCAGATTGCCCAGCTGGCCGAAGCCACCAAAGTTGCCCAGATTGAGGCCGGTTAGCAGATTTTGCAGTGGCAACAGCGCGCCCATAATGGGCCAATTCTGCGTCTGCAGACCCCCTGGATTGCCCACAACGGGCGTGACGACTCCAACCGGCTGCAGCGGTTGCAGTGGGTGCAGTGGCTGCAGCGGCGGCAACGGCTTCGAAGGCTCCACTGTGGGATTCGCATTGAAGTTGTCGTAATAAACGGGTATGCTCTGTTTCAAGTAGTTATATAGGAGGGTCAAGTTGGGTAATCTTGAATTCGCTTCGTTTCGGTGCTTACCAACTGACGTTTGTTCCTTTGATCTGGTTTAGTTGTTGTTGGAGTTGCTGTTGGAGTTATTGTTGGAGTTGCTGTTGGAGTTACTGCTGCTGCTGTTGTTGTTGTTGTTGTCATCGTCTTATCGGTGACTTCTGCAGCAGCCGCAGCGCTGATTAGCAGTATGAAACCCAGATAGCTTCTCATGTTTGATGCTCGTACAGTTCGGTTCTGTTCTGTCTGGTTGCCCAATTGGCCAGGTCTTTTATATGCTCAGTAAATTGTTTCTGGCTCTGTCCAGGCCTTAAGCATTCTTATTTTCAGCATTTTATGGGCCTGGAACCAGTTGCCATAATATTTTTATGGAGCGCAAAGTGTGTCAAATCGAACAGGTAAGCTTTTTGGTTGTTATCTGGTATAATGATATATTATATAAAAATATTT